TTCGGGGGGTCGCAGGAGCTGCTGACGCCGCTACCGCCGCTTCCGCGTTTGGTGAGTGTCCCAGGCTTGTGGCCCGCTGTTCGGGTTCTCTTCAGTCCTGCGGCGCGGCTTGTTGCGGCCCTTCGGCGCCGCGTTCCGATCCTCTCGCCCAGACCCTCACTCCCTTTCAGGCCCTTGCTTTGAAGTGGCCCCTGGACCTCAGGCTCGGCCTTCCAGGGGTCGGCTCCTTCCCGGCAGGCCCAGGCCTTAGCCTGCAGGGAGACAGCCGCCCTGTCGGCGGCAGAGCCTGCCCTGAGCTGAGGAGTCGTCTCTGTGGTTGGTATTCTCGATCTCCGCGGAACCGGGGCCCCCACGCCCCTTCCCCTAACCCGGGGCACAGCAGCTCCGGCAGGCGGACGGGGCTTCCCGGCCCTTAGTTTAGACGTTTCCTGTGCAGCTGCCCACCCGGACCCGTCCTCCAAATGCTCTTCCCCCAGATTCCAGAAGAGATCAGTTACTGCCTTCTGAGGCTTTTTGCTTCGTCCGTATCGAAACGAATTCGGTAGGACCTTCCTTGGGTTTAAAGAGTATTTGCCATTTTTCTTCTCTCTTTCAGATCATTTGCGATGGCAGGCTTTGAGAACTTAAACACGGATTTCTACCAGACCAGTTACAGCATCGATGACCAGTCACAACAGTCCTATGATTACGGAGGAAGTGGAGGACCCTATAGCAAGTAACTTGTCAGCTTTGACCCTAGTCCCGGCTGAAGCGGATGCCTGTATCCTCAGTGTTTGGTTCTCCCTAAAACCGAGCGTGTCACCGTGTCCCTTGTCAGGAATGTGATTTTTCATAATTTTCCTTCCTCTGGAAAGATCTGTGACACCGGTTTGGGTTTGAAAGGATTGCCCTGTTTAATTTGGTGTCTTCTGCAAAACCTTCCAGCGTGCTGTGACTGTGAAAGTGGATTGTTAAAGAACTGTTTCCTAGTGGTAGTATTTCTACATCATTTAAGATACAGATAAGGGCTTCAAGGACCTAGGAGATACATAGGCTGTTTAGTCCACAGAGCCAGTTAAAAATTTAAAATCTTGCCAACAGTTAGCTCAAGAAGTTAAATCAGTCCAAATTTCAGACCTTATCAGTATTAATTCAGAGGGCTTAGTGACACTATTTAGCAGTGTAAGCTCTCTTATGAATCATCAGGTGATTTATATATATATATATATATACATATATATATATAGCAGGTGATAGTCATCTTTATTACTGCTCATAGCAAAACCTATGGTCAGTACACACAAGTCACCAGTTGCAGGTTGAAGAGGGGGCCTTGAAACCTTTCAGCCCTGAACTGTTAAAGAATAAAATTAAACAACAAGAAAAAAACCGACTTTTTTTTTTTTTTTTTTAAATGGTCCCTGGTGTTAGTGGCAGAAATACATTAGCGGAGCTTTTCCACCGATTTCCTCTAGAACGTCGTATTCTTAGTTTCTTAGGATCTTAAAGATAACCTCATCACTCATTTCCTACAGCAGGGTGGCTTAACCTTTCTTAGATGGTCCAGAATCCCTTCAAGAATCTTACAGAAAAGATGGGCCTGTTTCTGAGATGTAACTGTACACACTCAGATGCCCACATAAATATGCATGTTACTGCACACAGTTGGTGTCATATGATATTCATTTATGAACCAAGAATTAAAAACCTCCCGAAGGGTATCCCAGGATGAAGACAAGGGAAGGTTGTGTATTGAATCAATCTGAGAGAAACGTGTAGTAGTAGAACATGTTTGATTTAATAAATCTGAATGACAGTGCCAAGAGATTTAAAAAAACAAAGCAAAAATCAAATTCAGTCCTCACTCAGTATGGCCTGTCTTAGATAAGCTGTCACCTGTTGACCTCTTGAATCTGCTTAATTTGATATATTGTAAGGCTTTTCCCCCTAAAAGTCTAACACCTTGAGCAGTGGGAGTGAGCATGTGAGAAATACTATCTGTGAATGAGTTTTTTTCCTTCTGCTAAATTCTGTTATATGCCATTGGGGATTTATCTTTTTTGATCAATTAATTGGGTGGAATTGGAAAAATCGTGTTGAGAAATTTCCATTTACTTAAAAATGTCTTTGTTTTTGTTTGTTTGAATCTTTGTATGAGAGGAAAATGAAAGATTGGCTTGAGTGCAGCCAAAGCGCTTTGGAAAACCTGGCTCTGTATGTAGGCCTGTTTATACTAAATGATGTTTGAATTCTGCAAAACTATGACATATAGATCACAACCTCCTAGGTTTATTGATCTTTGCCTTTCTTTCCTGTCCTGTTCATGTGTGCGTCATGTGGGCATCACTTAAACTGTGACTTGTCTTTTCATCTCAGGTATCATCATCTCATTTCAATTCTCCAGAGGGAGGTTGTTTAGATATTCTTTTGCTAACTATTCTCACATTTCCATTGCAACCAGATCATGTGCCAGTAACCATTGCTTCAGTATAATGAATTTTTTATCCCAGGTGCTTTTATACCCATTATTGCCAATTAACAAATATGAGTTTATAGGTGAAGCCTAGTGGAGGAATGTAGGAAGCCTAATGTATTAGCAGTAATAACTGGGTTTCATTTATTTATTTATTTATTTATTTATTTTTATTATTTTTTATTTTTATAAATTTATTTTTTGTTGGTGTTCAATTTGCCAACATATAGAATAACACCCAGTGCTCATCCCATCAAGTGCCCCCCTCAGTGCCCGTCACCCATTCACCCCCACCCCCCGCCCACCTCCCCTTCCACCACCCTAGTTCGTTTCCCAGAGTTAGGAGTCTCTCACTGGGTTTCATTTATAAGTGTCATTTTCATATTCATATAACAACAACTAAAAGTAAAAGACCCTTTCACCTTAATCTGTTGAGTTTTATGATTGCCACATTGGTTGGGTCCACATTGTATGCTAGATATAAAATACCAACTACTATTTTTAAAGTTTTTAAAGCTAGTATTTTTTCTTCTTTGACTTAACTGATAAGTATCTATATGGAGTACAATGTTGATTTACTCTCTAAAGATCATGTCTACCATGTTGTGTTCTAGTTTAAAACCAGCAGGCAAGCCAGGAATTTTCCTGACCAGGTCCTTCTGGAAAAGGAAAATAGTAAAATTCCACGGTGTAGTCTTTCTCACCTTGGATCTTAAAGAAGGAATGATGGTACCACTTTTGAAGCTGTCATTTGCTTGTAGTAATTCTCTTCCTGACATGAAATATATGAGTCTCTATTAGCAGTTTTAAAGTATGGACCACAGACCCCAGAGGATCCTTGAGATCCTTTTCAGGGAGCCTTTTAAGGTTAAAACTAATAATAACAATGCTAAAACACTATTTACCTTTTTAGGTGTCTTAACATTTTTACTGATACTGTAAAAACAATGGTTGGTAAAACCGCTAGTACCTGAATATGATGACAAGGGCATCAGAGTGTTTTAGTAATCATTGTATTCTTCATCACCACACACTTGCTGGGGTGTGGAGGGAACCAGTTTCATTTAAGGCTGCCCCTGATGAAGCAGTAAAAATCATGATGTTACACATGTATTCAGTACACATGTATTAAAAATATTCTGTGTGACAAAATGGGAAACAGTCATAAAGCACCTCCGGTTCATACTGAAGCACAGTTATTATCTTGAGGAAAAGCCACTGTGCAATTTCAGTTGCAGGTTGTATCAACTGCTTTTCGTGAAAACCATTTTTATTGGAAATAACATCCCAGCAAACTGTGGTTATGTAGATTTGAGAACTGGGCAGATATTTTCTCAGAGATGAAATAATTGAGATAATAATTGAATAATGCTTAACCTCAAGAAAGAAAACTGACAGTATGTGTAATTAATGGTTAAATTAAAGTTTTCAGGTAAAAATGAGGATTTGGGAAAACTGTATCCATTACTGTGAACTTCTCAGCTTTCTAGTAATTAACCATTTTTCTGATGAAATCATTGGTAGATATTAACAAATGTGATTTTCCTCTATACTTCATATATATGTTTTTATATTAAGTATGTCAATATTTGGGAGAGCTATATCACTCACTAATATTTTCTAAATTAGCAGTGAATGTTACAAAATCATACATGAGTAAGGGAAGAATCCATTCAAAGTGCAAGACACATCAGTGTATTTTAATATAACAGTATAAAAAGTTTATTAGTGTTGTTAACAATTTTATTTGTTTATTCATTCATTCATTGATTCATTCATTCATGAGAGACACAGAGAGAGAGAGAGGCAGAGACATAGGCAGAGAGAGAAGGAGGCTCCATGCAGGGAGCCCAATGTGGGACTTGATCCCGGGTCTCCAGGATCATGCCCTGGGCTGAAGGCAGCGCTAAACCGCTGAGCCATCTGGGCTGCCCTGTTAACAATTTTCTATGTAGTTGTTTTTTTTTTTTTTTAAGATTTTATTTATTTATTCATGAGTTACACACAGAGAGAGAGAAGCAGAGACACGGGCAGAGGGAGAAGCAGGCTCCATGCATGGAGCCCAATATAGGACTCGATCCTGGGACTCCAGGATCACGCCCTGGGCTGAAGGCAGGTGCTAAACCACTGAGCCACCCAGGGATCCCAATATATACCTACGTGTTCTAGATAACACTTTATTTTTTTTTTAAGATTTTATTTATTTATTCATGAGAGACACAGACAGAGAGAAAGAGAGGCAGAGACACAGGCAGAGGGAGAAGCAGGCTCCATGCAGGGAGCCTGATATGGGACTCGATCCCGGGACCCCAGGATAACGTCCAGGGCTGAAGGCAGGCGCTAAACCGCTGAGCCACCCAGGGATCCCCATATATAACACTTTAGAATGAATTATAATAAATAGTAAATGTACAACCCTTTTAAAGGTGCAGAAGTTTTTAATATTGAAGTTTTTAATATGAAAATTAAGTCTTCTACTTACCCCTACTTTCCGGTCCTTTTACTTATATAATTATGTATATTATATTAACTATGTTACATTATATCTAAACTTGTGTAATCGTGCATATTATATGTAATATATGTACCTGTAAATAAAATACACATATGCAAATATATACACACAGATATATTCCAAAAAGTACAATCACAGTGGGTACATATGGTATATACTATTCTGAACATTGGGTGTTTTTTCGTTTCTGCCCATTAAGTATTTTTTTATTTTCATTCTTTATTACACATAAAAGTACCTCATTCCTTTTAACAGGTGTTTAGTAATCTTTGCCCCCCATTACAATATATTTACTGGTAACTGTTCGTGTTGTTTTTTGTGTTTTGCTATTAAATAGTGTTTCATCGAATTCTGTATTACTATATAGCCAGAAAAATAAATACCATTTTTTTACAGCTTGGATTGAAATAGAGTGATAACTAAGTCTTGAGAATCTCATTGGGTTCTCCAGAGGGCTGTGTGTAGTTGAACTTTTGCCATTACTTGGATTTGCTTTTAATCAAGATATCAGTTATTTTAAAAATTAGATTTAAGATCTCCAAATAATATTCATGGCAGTCATTAGATTTTATACTTGTCAAAAGGAACTATAAAAGTTTTAAGGGTAATTAAACTAAAGGATCTTTAAGGCTTTAAAAAATTTCTTTTCAAAATAATTATTTTATTCTTTATTTCTTTCTGTGTAATGAGATTAGTTCCGTTGATAGGTAAGCCATATTTTTTTTTTCCCAGAACATGGCAAAACAGGTTTTTAAAGACACTACTTCAGTAACCTTCAGGTCCCTGTTGTTTTCATCATTAAAATAGCCTTGGTAAAGTCTCTTTTTCTACAGTGCAGGATTTACTATAGCACATATCAAATGAGACAGTAGATGTACATCTGCTTTGAAAACTTAACAGTGCTATTCAAATGCAAGATGTACTAATAATGTTTTGTTGTATTCAGAAAGCTTTCACAGGAAGAGGCTTGAATTTTTCTACTCTGTATTTGAAGTTGGTGGTTATTTTTAAAGAGATTTATCCATCCGCTTGCAAAATATAACATAGTACAGAAAGTAAAGAAGAATGATTACATTCAATGGAGATCCAAACCACAATGGAAAATTACATAGCATGTAAGACAAAGTCTGTCATGTTACATTTTCATTCATAGTTTTAGGCATCAGTTGTATTTCACAGCTGTCTTCATATTACATATACTTATTGAAGGGGAAGAATAGATAAGATTCTTTAGTTTTCATTTGTTGACCGCCTAATGTTTAAAAGTTTCATAGTTGGTAAAATGCTTAATCTCCATGTGAGTGTTGGCATCATTAGCAAGATTCTCTAAAAAATACAACTTACCATTAGATAATCAAATTGATCTTAGTTATTAGATCTTATTTCAACACTATTTATGAAAAGTAGTAAAGTAGCTATTCTATGAATTGCAGGACTTTGATTCTCTAGCTCTCAGAGATTGCCACTGTTGACGTAATTCTGAGAAATGTAACTTTGGTTTATAGACAGTATGCTGGCTATGACTACTCGCAGCAAGGCCGATTTGTCCCTCCAGAGATGATGCAGCCACAACAGCCATACACCGGGCAGATTTTTCAGCCAACTCAGGCATACACTCCAACAACACCTCAGCCATTCTATGGAAACAATTTTGAAGATGAGCCACCCTTATTAGAAGGTAGGATTGGTTGCAGTAGTTTGTAGTATTCTGTGATGTCTAGCTGGTCAGTGAAAACATATCTCAGTTTGGAGAAGTTGTCCCTTCCTTTAAAAGAATAATTTTATACAAAAAAAAAAGCCACATATGAAACCACATTGAGCTATAGGGGACCAGATTTTTAATAGATCTTCATAAAGTGACAATTATGTGAGCATTGACTTAATTCCCATTACTGATTAAATTCTGTCAGTAGAAGAAATAAAAGGAAATACCGTAGTAATGATTGTTTTACATGGGAGAAACTGGCAAAACTAGTAACATCACTGAAAAGTATGGTGATTTTCAAATTGTATTCTAAAACCCATGAAGCAGTAGTTCCATACATTTTAGGTCGAGGTTGGATACGTTATGAAAGTCTAATGAGAGCTATGGAAAAATGTACACCTGTGCATAGAAACATAGTTTCATATACAATTTCATAGCATCTCCAAGTATTTCTGAAGTCCCAAGTAAAGAACCCCTAACTGATAACATTGTCCATATATTCTTTGTTATGCACGCATAGCTGCGAATGTCTTGTTTTGTCATATCCACACACTTTTGCAGCATCAAACCAAAAATAGGATATTTGCAGTCAATGAAAACTGGTATTGAGTAATCACCAAAATGCCTGATATTGCTAGATTCTCTTTTGATGCTGAATGTTTCATTTTATCTCCTGTTGTAGCATAGATTCTGGTAAACTCAAGGTGTGTCACAAATCCTAATTGTCTTACTTTCTTTTCCTTTAGAATTAGGTATCAATTTTGACCACATCTGGCAAAAAACACTAACAGTGTTACATCCGTTAAAAGTAGCAGATGGCAGCATCATGAATGAGACTGATTTGGCAGGACCAATGGTTTTTTGCCTTGCCTTTGGAGCCACGTTGTTACTGGTAAGATTTTAGTTTGAGCTCTCAGTGTGAGATTAAAGAAAATCTTTCATTGTTCCATCAGGAGCCATTTTTGAGACTGTTGATATATCAAATCTTTCATGTGTTTTGAATGGTATTAAGTTGCTGGAATATATACCCATTCATCACTTCTCCATTGACAACAAATGTCATATATTTAGAAATAATTTTTTTGTTCTGAGAAAAGTTCCAATCATTAGGGGAAAAAAAACACAAATAACGTGTGGCTTCAGTCCCTCATCAAAATTCCATCTTACTTTTTAGAAATTGACAACATTCTTTAGCCTATTGCTCTTTTATTTATTTATGTATATTAATAATAGCTTTTGCTTATTTTTTAATCTATAGACCTTGGATGATGTTTTGTTATGGTGGTGCTTGTTCTTAGTTTTGTATATATTTTAACTTTTAATGAATTGGAATGTTAAAAGACAAGAAGTTTCCCTGCAAATGTTAAAGTATATTGAAAATGAATAGTTGTAAAGATAATTTGTTAATATTTGTTGTATTTTATCTTATGTCTCTGAATTAAGAGAGATAAATGAAGTAACGGATAGAAGATGGGATTTTTAGTCAGAAAAGCTGGGCATCAGTTCAGTGCTCCTGCTCTTTTCTGGAGTAAAATGTTTCATCCTTCAGCTCCCTCTGATAATCCTATGTTTCCCACCTCACAAGATTGTTTACAGATTAACCAAGAGGTTATATGAGAACCCAGAAAAATTTTAAAGTGCTGTACATATATGAGGTTTTGTTATTACTACATTAATGAATTCATTAAACTCAGCTGAACCTTTTAAATCTTCTACATTCTCACATATTTGCAAATAAATACTGAGTCTAACAAAAATGACAAGAATTTTTCCATGTAACATAATCTTTGAAGACATTCTCATGATTGACTTTTATATGTCCAAAATCTGATAAACAAGGACATTTTTGAAATCTTCTCTGTGGACTGATTTTCATCATAGTATGACCTGAATACATTGTTTGCTCATACATCTTGATTTTAAGAGTACTCTTACAGGGGCACCTGGGTGGCTCAGTGGTTGAGTACCTGCCTTTGGCTCAGGTCGTGGTCCTGGGGTCCTGGGATTGAGTCCCGCATTGGAGGGAGTCTGCTTTTCCCTCTGCCTTACGTCTCTGCCTCTCTCTCTGTGTCTCTGATGAATAAATAAAATTAAAAAAAAAAAAGGATACTCTTAGAGCAGTGTAACTAACTTATACTGTCTTAGTTCTGTTTGGTAATGTCTTTTAGAAGAGCATAATTCTTTTTGTTTGTCAAAAGACTATAAATCCACCAACAATTTGGGGAAATAATGAAAGAAAATACATCTTCCATTATATTTCTCTTACTTGTTAATCAGTTTTCTTTTCTTCTCCCCTCCCCATAGAACCATGGTGTCCTGCTTATCCTGGCTTCCTTTCTCTTAGCAACTTTAACAGCCATATAAAGTGAATGATGAAATTGTTTCTGCTGTTAAAAAGATTGCAACTACATCTGCCAATGAGAATAAATTGCTTCAGGGCAATTTTGGTGGTATTAGGTGCTTTCAAGTAATATTAGATATCGTCCAAACATTCTACAGGGTTTTCCATCTTGTCTCTGTAGTTTATTTGCTTAATATCAGCTAGATTTTTTTTTTTTTTTAAGAAATCTACTACTTAAAAGTAATTGTACCATGATTTTGTATCTTTATTTGCTGAATTGCTCAAATACTAACTGGAAAATTAAAAAACCAAGTATCTGTGTATTGGAAAGTGGATATTTCAGATATCTTGAGGAAGATGTAAATCTGTATTTTACTACTCTGCATAAAGAATAGATGCCTCTATAGATTTTGATGTTTGCAAATTAGATATTTTCTTACATGTACCATTTTAGGTGAACTAAAACCAAAAAGAATTTTTTCCCTTTAACCTGTAATCTTTTCTTTACCCATAGGCTGGCAAAATCCAGTTTGGCTATGTATATGGGATCAGTGCAATTGGATGTCTAGGAATGTTTTGTTTACTAAACTTAATGAGTATGACAGGTGTTTCATTTGGGTGTGTGGCAAGTGTCCTTGGATATTGTCTTCTTCCCATGATCCTACTTTCCAGCTTTGCAGTGATATTTTCTTTGCAGTAAGTACTGATCATTATTTTGGGGATTGATTGACCAGTTCTCTGAAATAGGATTTATCTCACCATCAGTTTAAGATAAATCACTGATTCAGCAAACATGAGATACAGTGCCTGTTATGAATAAGGACTGTACTATATGCTTTTCAGTGGTGAACAGTGGACCTGAGAATAAATTTAAAAACTTTTTATACCATCTCTGCTTTTATCTGTGATAAAGAATTTCACTAGTTCTGTGTTTATTTATACCATTGTCAGTAAACAAACAGAACAGTGGTGATTGTTAACTAAAATATTGGGTGAAAAGATCAAATTGTTAAAATTACTCTTACCAACTCTGATATTTTTTACACTGTATCTGATTTTAAAGATGTTAGGCATATGCCAAATGAAAGTAATAAACACACAGTCTGTTTGGCAGCTTATTAACTGAAAACAAAACATTCTTTTTATGGGAAGAGGCAGTTACATGTTCTCAGATGTACTTGTAAGCAGCTTTAAGTGTGTAATTGTAAGTGATACTTTAGGTAAAGTTAGAAAGATATAAATTCCTGCTGATAAATTCTCTTCTCATGGCCGGTATACAGATCCTCTCAACAGTTTAGGCTCCTCCTTGTGGCTAGTGCCAGGCACAACCAATGATGGGCCTTTGTTACACTTTGATAAAGTTAAAAGAGAGGTTTAGGGGAAGAGCATGTATCAGCTATTCGATGGTAGAGATTTTGATGGCTTCACAATGTTCCTGCTTTGCGTAAAAATGCTTCAGTTTTGCAGTGTAAACTCATTCTTTTCATTTGTTGAGATTGGTACATATATATTTGAATTTTACAGAAGACATTTTCTACCAAAACAGTATTTTCTAACCAGGGCAGTTTTGCTCTTAAGGGTACATTAGGCAGTGTCTGGAGATCATTTTGATTGTCGCATCTGTGGGCCATGCAGATGTGCTGCTGGTACCTTATGGCTAAAGGCCAGAGATTCTGCTGAACAACCTAGCAATGCACAGAACAGTCCTTCACAACAAAAGTGCATCCATCCCAGATATCAGTAATGTTAAAGTGAGAAACCTAGCTCCTATGCTAACAGGAGCAAAATGTAATTATAAATGAGCTTTTTATCACATCATTGAATGTGGATGTGAATAATTCAGCATCATTGAATTCACTACGAGGTACGTTATTTTAACATTTGAAAAAATCGATCATTTCTATAGATGTGTACAATGTGGATTTAAAATGCTTTTCTTTAGAATTGGTTATTGTTGTATTTTTTTCTTTTTTTCTTTTTTGTTGTTGTTGTTGTTGTATTTTTTCATAACTAATCTCATCTACTGCCTTTTCCCCCTTCCCCCTCTTTTTCCTTGTTGGTTACAGAGGAATGGTAGGAATCATTCTCACTGCTGGAATTATTGGATGGTGTAGTTTTTCTGCTTCCAAAATTTTTATTTCTGCATTAGCCATGGAAGGACAGCAACTTCTAGTAGCATATCCTTGTGCTTTGTTATATGGAGTCTTTGCCCTAATTTCTGTTTTTTGAACTGAATTTATCTGGCATGTGGACATCATTGGGCCAAAAAGGACTTTGAACTCTTAAATTGGACCAGCGAACTGCTACAGTGCAACTCTCATGCAGACCTAATATTTGATTATTGGAGCAATGGAAGTAAACATGTATCTTTTGTTCATTTTTATAGAACTTTTGAATACTATGTTGGATTTATCTGCAGTATGACTAGCTTTAAGTGTTTGTGCTTATACAAATAAGTGCTATTTCTCTCCTGTTCCTGCAGCCTTTAAAAAACAAATTTTTTCCCTTGCAAATTATATTAAGATGTTTTTAATAGATTTTTATCAACTGTGGGAAACTAACCACAGAGCTAACACTCTTTCTTAGAAACAACCCATAGTTAAGAAGACACAAGACTTACTGCAGAAATATTTTTCCAAGGGATTAAGAGAGAAAAATTGCCTATATTCTTGAGTTAGATGCACTTGAAGCAAAAAAAGTGATCCCAAAGTAGAGTTTTATGAGTTTGCACTTCAAAAATTTAACATTCCTTTAAATTATCTTAGGGAGTTTTTGCTAAAATTCAATGAGAGAAGCCCATAGTCTACTTTATTGTAGGTAGGAAATGTGAACACCTGTTGAGATTAGCATTAACTAAACCATAGTGACCCAGACTGGCCACATTAATGTTCATAGTTGGGATTCCATATTTCCTAGGAAAAAGAAAATCACTAACCTTTTTTTGAGAAAAATATTTAAAATGTCACAATTTCATTACTGCAGTTATCAATGTAAAATGCATTTGATGCTTAGTAATTAAAATTTTCCCGATTTTATCTGCTGTTGAGTTGACTTTGCTATTTTCGGTATCGCATTTTCTTTAACAAGGTTCTGGTTTTAACTTGTATTCCTAATTTATCCTAAGCTTTAGGAACAGAAGTCATTTAGTATAAAATCAGAAAAAAGGTCTTAAGTGGAAGGCAATTTACTTTGAGTTACAACATTATTTCCTTGTATTAAACTTATTTGGCCAATATCATGCTATCTTGCCAGAGAATCTCTAGGAAAATGCTGCATCTTGTATTTTGATCATTGGGTTTTTCTGAAAAAACAACTCTGATTTTGGATGAGTCAATTTATAGTTATGAGAAAGGTGCCCTGGGAGGAGGAAAATGTTGCCTTCTTTAGAAAAGGGGACTTTTTAGACTAAGTAAAAAGACTGATTTTTTTTTAAAGTTCAATAAAAAAGGAGGTTACATTAATAAAACACATTTCTTATAAGATCATAATTTCTAATCTCTGGAATCACGTAAATTTGCTTTTCTTCATTAATACTTACTCTTCTGGAGGAATACTCTCACTAACAATTCATTTCTGGCTGGGTTTTCAACCTCACCAAAGTGTTTTAGAATATTTTTTATTGTAATCCATGGATAGTACCTTTTTTGCCTTTTTCATTTCATTTTATAAATACACAGTAACCTTGTTAAGGCAGATGTAATGAGTGCCTTCTGTTAATACCCAGTTTTTCCTAACAAATAGGGTAGATGATTCTTTGTGAAATAAATTTTCCCACTGTTACTTAGTCCTAGACCATTAATCTTAAGCCATATTTATTTTTTGCCTCTCCCACTCCGAACATAAAAATTTTTAATTTAAATCAATGTTGAGAGATTTTTATTGTTACTTGTTTTATTTAACTCCAAAGTCATTAGATACAAAACCATCTCATACATAACAGTTATTCTGTCAAAATAGTTATATAGTGGAGTTGCATTTAATGCAAGAGGTTAGTTTTAGAGTTTGGTACCTGAAGAGTCATGTATAGCCCCAATTTCCCTTCTAAAATTTTTCTTTAAAATACAACAAATATAGCCATATTTATGCATACTTTAAAAGCTGAAAAACCGTTTCAAAAAGTTATATGTGGTGACTTTTTTCTCTGACATTGTAGTAGATTATGTTCCCTCATTGAAGTTTCAGGAAGAGCAGGTAGCTTGATTTGAGGGCCCATTTTGTACCAAAAACATACAGGTACCATTAAATGCTAGACACACTCTATATAGCTATAGATTCACTTAGTGATTATCCCTGAGTAACAAACTCACTGTGAATGTATTTCAGGATCTCTCACTCAAGCTAGTGTTATTTATGCATGTTGTATGCCAAGGGCAGATAATTGTTTTTATGTATGGTATAAATGTATATTTTATGAATTTTAATACCATGTTAGATTACCATGTTTACCAATGGGTGCTTTCAAGAGCTATATAACTAGGCCTTGTAGGAATAGGTATTCTTTCTCCAGATATAGTTATAAAGGTAGTGCAAATTTCTGTTAAGTATTAAAATACTAAGTACTGTCACATACTAGGCATCCAATCAAAGAGGATTTTTAAAAATGTAGGTAATGACATGATTTTGGGCAGAATTTAAGTATTTGACATTTTGCAAATTTGTGACCTTAAATGGGTATTGCTCAACTCAAATATACTCCAGATCTAAGTAAGGACAATTATCTCTGAAGCTGAAGTTATGCAGTTATTTTTATAGTATTTGTTACCTACACAAAAGCCTTTCCTTTCTGAAATTATATACTTTTTCCTTCTAAATGGAAGAATTTAGAACTTTGGGCAAAAGAGAACTATAGAAGTTGAAATCTTATCCTAAAGGGTACTCTGACCTAGTTGTTTAGAATTGTAGGAAGTCAAGACCACATTTGGAGATCTGCCTGTTGTCATATAGAGCAGAGCTAATGTAATGCTGCAGACAATTTGCTTAACTTGCCCTGTGGGAGAAGTTTTATTAATTTATTTATATATATGTATGTGTAAATGTATGTGTGTGTATATATATATCTATGTGTGTATGTATATGTGTGTATATGTATGTATGTGACAAGATGTTTAGCCTTTCATAAGCTATTTCCAAGAGCTTTCCAGGAAATATTGAATGGTACAGATCATAGCATGAAGAGTACCAAAGAATAGCCCTGGGTTTTCAAAACTCTAGCTCTAGAGCAAGCTTCTACCCAAGTAATGCTCCAAGTAAAATCTGCCCTCACAAACTATCCCCTATTCATTTGTGATGTCTTGTCAAATTCCAACTACTGGTTACCAATGATCTCAATTTTTACAAATTCCAATTTATTTGGAAACGAAAGCTTAAATGATTTCTTAAGCAGTTTCCTATAATGATACACTTGTTTTAAAATAGGAACTTTAAGAATGAAACATTAGAATTAGCCAAAAGCAAAGTATACTTTTTCAAAGAGTTATAGTAATTAATGGGATATTCTTAGACTCTTCCCCCCCCCCCCCCAGGATGTATTTAGTATTTGAGGGAAGGAATGGCAATAATAAGATAATCAAGGATTATGGTGAATTCCGTAAGGAAAAATTGGATCTTTTATAAATAGATAAGAATGATCTATCATTAGCTTGTCAAGAATACAGTTTACTTTCAGACAGCCTGAGTAGAGCCTAGCCTCACCACTCTACAATCTCTATTATTATTTTATAGCACCAGTGAAGAAATAATTGATTTTTAACTCTGCTACCATCCAAATTATTGAAGTTTGAATTTTAATATATAACTATTACTTGAATTTCAGTAAGCTGCTTTGTTCATTAATAAGTATCCATAACTGGGCAGTAGGTAATATTAAATATTAAGTTATTGATTTATAGGGATTGGCAGAGTAGTTAGTTTAAAAGTGTTTTATATTAACAAATGTATATCTCAGAATGGTGACTATGAAAACTGAAGAATGGAATCTAGTAGTGTGCAGTTAGGATTTTTGCATCAAGATAGGAATACTTCTACCCTTGTGCACAAAGTTCCTACTTTAGTTAATGAAGAACATTATCTGCTGATGGAGCACAGTGTCCTGTGTTTGTGCAAATAAATTAAAATGATTACATACTCAAATGAGGACTAATTAAATACAGAGTTGTTCTAATTTAAAAGCACAAATACTTTCTTGAGCACATTAGGTTCTGAAAATTGGATATTACATTTTTTGTGAGCCTAACTAATTAGGCTTACCTTGCATATATAAATTTGGTTTATTTCTGAAACTACCACTAAATCTGATAGCATGTGGGGTGATTAATTATGCATTAAGGTGTTTAAAATAGCTTTTCAACACTAGCAGCACAGACAGAATTTTAAAAATGAGAAGTGCTCAGTAGATACATTTAAGACAGTTATAAATTTGTGTGCCTACTTGGCTTACTCTGATTATCTTAAAATTAGAGAAAGCAATATGGTTATTTCATTTTTTCCTTCAGGTAAATATAGTTCAGACAAAAGTCCTTGTAAAATTTTATGAAAAATTTGCTTACAGTTTTCAGTTTTGTGATCTTTGATAGTGCTATGGGACTTGATAGTCTTTTTTTTTTTAGGCAGCCATTTAGGTCCTAAAAGTCCTACAATGTTATATGTTTTTTTTCAAAGTGGGAATGTCTCTGTTACCTTTGCCTGTTACATTCCATTGTTATGATAAAGAATAATACCTCTATAAAGCAACAGAAAGGAGTGGTTTATTGATAAGATGTTTTAACAGGAATGACCCTCAGAAACATTATGCTAAGGAAAAAAAAAGCCATATATGAAAGACCACATATACATTTATATGAATTTCTAGGAAAGAAATCTGTAGGGACAACAGATTAGTAGTTACATGGGGATAAAAGCGGGAATTGATTGTAAAAGAGGAGAGAGCTTTTTTGAGTGATCATGGTTGCACAACTGTATGTTTATTAAAATCATTAAAGTGTACCCTTGGAATGTGTTAGATTTTATGATAGGTTAATAGTATGGAGAGTGAGAGTGAGGTAGAACAAACTGCTAGAACATCTGTATTTTTAGAGTTCAAGAGAAAAGAAGGAAGAGAAACCTAAGATCGATATTAATAGAGGATAAAACAATAGACTACTTTTGACCAGAGGGGAAAAACATTGTAATACCAAGGAAGTGAGATTGCCACCCCCTCTAAATTTTACTCCGCACCTAACTCCCTTCAGATTGATTGGTTTGTGTTTTATCAGATCGCACACATGGGTATCCTCTTCTTCCCCTAGTGGCTTGTATCCACACAAATACATGCATACACACTCCTTTTTTTTAGACATTTTTGTTAAAAGTCCCATTAATTTAGTGGCCTAACTGTATTCACAATGTGCAAACATCATCACTATATAATTTCAGAGTATTTCCATCACCTCATAAAGAAACCTCATACTTCTCAATTTCCCAGCTCCCATACTCTGGCAACCACTAGTTTTCTTTTTGTCTCTGGATTTGCTTGTTGTGGACATTTCATATGAATAGAAGCATAAAAGATGGGCTTTTGTTTCTGGCTTCTTAGTATAATGTTTTCAAGGTCTTTTTTTTTTTTTTTAAGCAATCTGTTATTCAAATTGATTTGAAATTTTCTTCATTCTTTTTACTAGCTGGATATCATTTTATTAAATGACCAGAATTTAATTCACTTTGGCAGTGCCCCATCGTCAGACTGTTGGGATCTTTGTACCTTTTTGAAAAATTCTAAATAGTGCTGCATTGGTATTGTTATGTTTTATTATTTCAGGGCCACATTTATACCACTCCGGTAAATAACTTAAATGCAGAATTTAAATTCTGAAAATTTCAATAATTTTATTTCCTAATAGTTCTGTTTAGTATGAGTCTAGTTTTTGGTTTGTTGAAGCATGCAAGTCACATATAGGCATTGCTCTGTGGTTCTCTGTTACTTCAGTATTTTTATACTACTCTTAAGCAGTGACAGGTGAATACTGGTAAAAGTATCATGTCACACCCACGCCTCAAATTA